CCCCCCCCCCCCCCCCACACACACTCTACAACTGCACAGAAAAACACACTAGAAAATATAGTTTACAATGTCTGTGGAAATGACAATGGCAGCCAGTCTGGTGATAACAGATATTACACATGAAATATGATAATTCAATACTATTAACTGAATGAATGGTATCTAAGATTGCATTGTTTGTCTTGTTAGTGAGAAGGGATAGGATATTCACAATACCAAAAGAATACGAATATAAACCAGGCAAAGAAGGCAACAGAAGATGAAATAATCTTGGAGATGACTGACGAGCACAGTGAAATTATGATGATTAAAATAATTTTTGAAAACTCTCACTATTCAGCATATTTGATGGAGCCCTATTGTTTGGGAGTGTTTAGACCCATGGTATCAGTCAGAACCCATCTGAGCTACAAAACAAAAATGGGTTTATCCTCCAATGTGTAATGTAAACTTACAACTAACTTGCTGTGAGAAAACATCACCTTTTGCTTAGAAGCAGATGTTCCAGGCAACTTTGTTGATAAACAATAGTTTCAAATGGGCATAAAAGCCAATTAACACATTAGTTGAATTATTCTAGTGATTACCTGTACTATCCCCCCACTTCTTTATTGGTATCCAACATTAGCTTAATGCAACATATTAAGAGTCACTCACATTAGTAATTCATCTTAATTTCTCAAATAGTGTGGCCTATTTTCTCCAGTTGGATATATCCAACTCAGGCGTGGCAGGCCTGTGCAACAATGTCAGTCTTGATTTTTACTGAGATTCAGAAATACACATGTTAGTAGCACAGCTATGTAATTATTAAAGTTTCCTGTTTTCACATTCCTTTTCTTATTGATGGTTTCTTCTGTAAATGCTATTTTCATTAAAATAAGTAAGTAACTACCATTTCTTTGAGTTTTTTTTTTTTTTTTTCACCCAGGTCAAGCCACATGTACAAAGAATTTACATCTAAATATTCATCATCCATTATCTGCAGTGCACATACCTCCAGGATGAAAAGCATTTCAAGCCCTGTTATACTTTTAACATAAGTACCTCACATTTTTCACATCATTGAATTGAACAATGCTCCAGAATTGGTATAGGATCTCCCCCACAATAGGTAGATTTTTCTTGTTTTAATTTCTGCCAAGAGTTGTGCATGTTTGTCAAATTAGAACTATATATAAGTCAGGCAAGGGTACTTCTGCTACTCCTGTGTTTAACAGACACAAGTCATCATTGGTCTTGCATGTAGCAGTCCAGAAGATCCAGCTGTGGGAGTCAGAACTCTTGAATGATAGGGGAAACAAGGGGAGATCTATGACATGGACCAATTGTTCATGCCTTCATTTATCTAAACCCAGCTATGCCCACTTCTTCTCTCTGCCAAGTAAGGGAAAGGAGCACTGGCATCTTAATTTATATATTTGAAGGTAGATTGAAGATGTAGTCCCTGTCAACATGTAAATGTGAACAGCCTACTGTTAAACATGCCATAGGTTCTCCTCTGCAAAGATCTACTGACCACGTAATCTGTCACAGTGCCCATCTGTGGAGCTTTTGGTCTCTTTAGCTTGTTACCAAAAATATCCAAAACACTTTCATAAATATAGTAGAAATGACTTACACTAAAAGCTGCCATGACCTCCCTGCTGTCATTTTCCAGGAGGCGGAGTCGTCCTCTCAGTTCTCCTTGAAGCTGATGATCATGAAGTCCAGTCTTTTGTCTTACCATGGATAACCTCAGTGATATATCTAAAAAGAATATTACCAGACTGTCACAAGTTCTTTTGGGTGCCAAAATGAGTTTGCCAAACAGAAACATCCCAACGACTGCAGAGTCAATATTTAGAATCATACTTAAAACAGATGTACCACTTCAAAGTTTGAAGTCTCCCAATGCAATACCCTGGTAGATATAGAAAAATACAGTGTAAAACATATGCAACTGGTAGGGGGAATATAGGGGGGCACCAGCTCCGCCCCCACTGCTGATGGCATCTGCAGGGAGGTGCACGGCACAGCCCAGCAGCTGCAGGCAGGTGGCATCAGCTGCTCCCGCGGCTGCAGCAGGGAGTAAAGTGGTAGGAACTGTCAGTGGATGCGGGATGGGAGGCACAGCTCTTTCTGCTACACTCATCTCAGCAGGACTGCAGGCTGGTGGGTCTACGCCAGGCTCTTCCTGGGGGGCGTGTGCCCCCAGATCTGCACACAGGATGAGGGCAGGCGCCGGTGGTGCCACCGGGCTCTTCCCAGTGGTGGGGGGGTTGCTGGGTTGCACTCTGCTCTGGGTGGGTGGCAGCAGCACTGGGAAGGGGACTGCAGCCACCCTAAAATTCCCTGTACCCCGCCAACCTCCCCTCCCAGAGCCACCACCACCCACCATGAGCACAGCATGGCCCAGGCCACCACTGGGAAGAGCCCAGTGCCACCGCCAGTCCCAGCCCGCAGTGGCAGCCTGCTCTGGTCCCATGTGCAGATCCAGGGGCACACACCCCCTGGGAAAAGCCCAGTGTAGCTCCCTAGCTCGCAGCCCTCCCAGGGTACACATAGCAGCAAGAGTCCCACCCCCGCCACCACCTTGTGCTCCGCACCCACTGTCAGTTCCCTCCACCTTGCTCCCTGCTGCAGCCCCAGGAGTGGCCAATACCACCTGCCTGCAGCCACTGGGCTGCACTGTGCCCCTCCCCCCACCCCTTCCTAGCCTCAGCCCCACTCCCTCCCTCCCATGGAAATGTACCCCTATTTGTTACCTTGTAAACTGGGCTCCCTCTATGTGAATTCAAGTTATGCACGGTTTTCCAGAAACGCATATACCACATAAAGCGAGAGAAATGTGTATGGAAAAACCTTCACCCCTTAAGCATGGACTTTTTATTGCAAAGGTTTGCAGAAAAGAAGTTTTTTCTTAGGCCCCTTCTACACAGTATATCTATTACACAATGACCTGGTTGATTGCACAATAAATTTAGACTACCTACATGTGCAAATTAGCAATGCCACCTTAAAAAGTCCAACCAATTATAAAGTTATTTCTCAAAACTACATAAATTTGCATGTGTAGGCAGTCCCCCATAGCTGAGAGATGACAGCCACTGCGATCTCCCAGCCATGGGGTGCCCCAAGCACAGCTGGGACCAAGTGTCTCCACATCTGACACAACTTGGAAGCCCTGGCTAAACCCCACACGGCCGCAACCCAGAGTCCCTGCAGCTGAGGCCAGGACACAGAGCCCACTCAGCTGCAGGACTCTAGTCCCCGCTGTGCCTAGCATGGACACTGGATCCCAGTAGCACCCCATGGATGCCAAGACCCAGAATCTGCAGCTATATAAAACTATTGGTCCTGGCAGCAGCAAGGTGCTGCTGTGACCTCCCTTCCCTAGGGTGCGTGGGGTACCCAGAGGCTGGGAGATCACAACAACCGTGGTGTCCCAGCCATGGGGCTGTATGGAGTCACCCCACAGTGGTGTGTGGATCACACTGGCTGCAGTCTCCCCAGCAGCAGGGGTGCATGTGGTGCTCTCACAGCTGGGAGCCCTGTCAGCCGAGGGGCTCCCAGGCATGGGAGCCAGATTCTTGCCAGTTCAGGGGCAACCCAGGATCAGGCTCCCCCTGTACCAGCAATAAGGCACAATAGGATCTAATGTACGATCTCACAATCATGCCTCCTACCACGTACATGGTAGGGAGCATAATTGTGTGGATTGTGCATTAGATTTTATCATGCTTGTACCTGCACATGTAGAGGGGCCTTAGGATCTGCTCATTCTGTAATCTTTGACCTCTCAAGGAAATAAGGAGCATCATTAAACTACTATCTTCTGCTTCAAATGAAAAAGATACCTCTTTGACTTACCTTCTCTGAAATAAGTATGGAGAAACATTTACACATAAATACTTAGAGCAACACAGAACACATGTATTCACACACCCCACAAGTCATCTCCTGAGAAAAAATGATGAAGAGGGAGAATGAACCACACGTGACAGTTGTTAGTCACATCCTGTGAAATGCTACTAAGATGTTCTACAGTACTATGTTTAGAAAAGCACTAAAGGAAACTAAAGGGAAAAGAAAGACTAAATGAGATTTATCTCATTTAACTATCAGAAAAACTGTTTTATTTTTGAGCCTAAATATGAATTTTAAAATCTAGATTTATGCACCCAAGCCGGAAAATGATGATTAGAATACTTTTGAGAAATGCTAAGCTGCACATTTGTTTTCATATAGTCCAGTCAATAAAAGGAAAGCATGCACTTCCATTTCTAAATGCATGGTATTTTTCTTACTTATGAAAAGGGACAGTACAACTGTATTATATCCCCAAAATGCAGAAGAAAGTATAAGGTGGTAACAAATATATTGAAACTCATCCAGGGTTCACATTACACTTTGACTCTTCAGTGGGGTCTACAAAAAAAATTGGGCTGCCCATCACAATGCCCTAATAAAATTGGAGAGCCTCCCAGGTTATGATTTTCAACTCTTACAGGTGGGGGCTCAGCTCCCCCCTCCCCCCAGAGGTCACCCATAATTCAAACCCTGAACTCAACAAGAAAACAATAGTCAAGCTTTAGCGTTTTGATTCTTCTTGCTAGGAGCAACAATTTTAATAGGAATGATAATTAATTTTCACCAGTAATTGCCCCAAATCACTTAGTTATATGGTATGTGATAGAAAATAACTCATCAAGATAATTTCACTCACCATTGACACCTGCAGTGAAATATGGTAGCTATTTAATTATTTAATGATATTACACATGGTAATATCAAAAACTGAAAAAAAAAATTCAACTTACTTTTTTAGTGGCAGAAGGAAATTTGAGCAGGAAAAATGTAGTTATTGTATTTGAGTTAGACTAGAACCTGGGCAAAAAACCCCCAAACCCATAGAAACAAAATGTGACCAGTTTCCCCTGGAAAAATGTCACCCTTTCAAAAAAATATTAATTTAATATTTTAGAATAAAGTTTGGATATTTTCAGAGGAGACGTTTTCAAGGACACCTATTTTCCCCCTAGAAAGCAGACTATGTTCATGAATAGTTGTTTAGTAAAGCTGTGCGAAATTTCCCCCGAGCACTGCCAGGAGTGACCGGGAATAACAGTCACAAGCTGGCAGAGGGTAGATTTAGGCTAGATATCAGGAGGCGCTACTTCATGGTCAGGGCGGCTAGGATCTGGAACCAACTTCCAAGAGAAGTGGTGCCGGCTCCTACCCTGGGGGTCTTTAAGAGGAGGCTAGATGAACACCTTGCTGGGGTCGTTTGACCCCAGTACTCTTTCCTGCCATGGCAGGGGGTTGGACTTGATGATCTGCTCAGGTCCCTTCTGACCCGCCCAACTACGAAACTATAATATAGGATTAGACAGTGGGATTCTGACACACTGCAACGTGCCAGACATCTGACTCCCCAGGCACCTCTTGCACTTTCGTCTGCACTGTTACATCCCCCTTCTCCTCTCCCCCCACCCTAGCCTGTCCCTCACCCCCCAACATTTCCATTTCCATTTTCACTGACTGGCTTTCTTGCCTGCATTGCATGCCAGGCCAGCCTCTGGCTTCTTTACTGGTCCTGGATGGAAGGGATAGTAGGCACAAAAACTGCAGGTGCTTCCTCAGCCTAACAAAGGGTTTTTCAACCCAAGAGCTTCCTAAGATGTATTTCTCTAACTGTTCAAGTTTTTTTCATAATAAACATATAAACACAAGATAAACCATCACACACGATGAGTAACATATATCCCACACAAGATTTTTACTTCTTGCTTTCACTTCCCTTATAAAAAGAAAGGCTGTGAAAGTTTGGCTAGGCTACCAGAGATGCTGCTGGTGCTACTGGTGCTGACTGCTGAGTCACTAAGTTATTTTTACCTGCTGCCCTTTGCAGTGGTGGACCAGACTGAGGCTGTAGAGGAGGAGGACCCCTCATTGGGGCACACTACCGTGTTGTGTAGGGGCCCCAGAGCCAGTGAGGGTGCACCTTAACACGCACACAATCCCACAAGCACCCATGACATGAGTTTTGTCCTCCAGCACCTAGAGGTGTAGGGCCCCAGAACTCAGACTCCCCCTGCACCGATCTCCTCGACAGCTGACAGGCTTTGTAGCCTCAGCAGTGGCTAGCATGCCTGCAGTTTTGACCCTGCTGTGGCTTAATATGTACATGTGACATGAAGTTTTGCTTTCAAGGCTTTGGTGTGCAGTTTCCCTCAAACCCCTTCACCTATCTCCTTGAAACTTGGCAGGCTTCATGCCCTCAGAAGGGGCTACCATTTCTGCAAGTTTCATCCAAATCAGCCAAAAATGACAAAGTTACAGGCTGTTTCAAGCGTCTACATTGTAGCCTATGGGCAAAATGTTGAAACAGCGTCAAAACAACAAAACTGTTTCGACGAAATGAAACAGAACAGCAGTTTTGAATCAAAACAAAACTCAAAACGAAATGCTGTCCCATCAAAATGCAAGTCGAAACAGAATGGCGCTGTTTCGCACAGCCCTACTGTTTAGCCAGAAACCAAACGTTCTGCTGGAAAAAAGGTGGATCGGCTCTGCATCCTTTGTATCTGTGTTCACAGCAGAACCTTAAATAGTCTACATGACCAAGACCATGGTTTCGTATCTCGTTAGACATACAGAATCAATAAAATCCTTTCTAGCAGCTTGCTGAGAAACTCTTTCATTCCTAACTTCATGGGAAGAGGCCAACTTCTTGAAAAAGAACATTCTCATCTGACTTATAAAGTATATAACTGATTAATATGATGTTACTGATTGTAACACCTTCCTGAAAAGCCACAGTAAACGTGAATTCTTGACAGAAATAGTTGTAAGGTGCTAGAGCAATGCACCATGTTGCACTGCAGCAAATACCCCAACCTTTGCTTATCCTTTCCTTTTTAATACACCTTAAAATATTCTCTTCTCCATACATTTCATCCAGTGGTTTCAATCTGGTAAAATATGTATCTTTACATTCAGTTCTAAACTGCTATGATTCTTAAGAGTTCTAAGTGATCTGCTTTCTAAATGTATCAGAGCATTTGTAGTTCAAAAGTAAATGTAATCCTTTTGAAGTCAGGAAGAAGGAGTCCTCAGAACAGGACAGTATTATTAATAGTTATTTATTAGCCAAGGATCAATAACCTTATTATAAATGTTAAAGCCAAAAAACAAACTGTACATGCTTTGACCAGAAATGTGTAGATAGCTATTTGTTTTTACCATTCTTGATCAACTCGTTTCCTTTGCAGCCATTACCGATTTAAGCAATTAAGAAATTGTTCATACATAATAGATTATAAAAGCTGATATTAAAATTTGCAATCTTTCTATAGTTAATTCTAGAGTTTTTATGGTTAGTCTTTTAATTCAGTGGTCTCCAAACTTTTTTGATCACGCACCCCTATCAGTAAAAAATTTTTGAGCATGCACCCCCAATATATGTATATTTATATAAATATAAATAGAATTTCTAATATTTTCTTCCCGCACCCCAATGGATCATCTTGCTCACCCCCTGGGGTGCACACACCCCACTTCGGAGACCACCGTTTTAATTAACCAATATTCCTGATAAGTTGTTCCTGTTACAAACTAGAGAGTTAATAACTGATAAAACATACTTCTCCCTGCAAACACTGAACATATTATTTCTTTGACTTACTTGATCTGAACCACTGAAATGAATAGGAACATTTCTATAAACATCAGTGTGTTCTGCATCATAAGTGCAGAGCACTCTGGTCCAATTAGTAAAAGACCAGCCTATTCTTAAAAATGAAGCATTTAAATAGTCCCACTGAAAGTGGTGGAATTATTAACCTGCTTGAAATTAAGTACTTGAATGTAGGGCTGCACCAAAAAAGATTTTGGGAACCGATACCAATAGCTAATTTTTAAGGAGGCATATTGGCTGATACCAATCCAATTTCTGATACAGCTGCATGCAGCTGGTCAATCTGTTTTGGTAGACAGGGAGGGGAGAGGGAAGGGGGCAGGTGCTACCTAGCTGAGGCGGGGCATGGCACAGAGCTGTGGCTTATCCAGGGGGGTGCAGGGTGGTGGCTCTTGATTTCTCATTCAATCAATTTTCTTTATATTGGTGCTGATCCAATAATCAGACCAATGTGTCCGTGCACCTCTGCTTGAAATGTTTTGCTAGATCTAGTTTCAAAGTGAGCCAAATGCAAGCCTTTCTCTTGGTTTCCATGGGCTGCAACAGGTTAGGAAGAGACTATTTCAGTATAATAGGAATTGAAGCTGCTCACCCCATGTTTAAAATTTGGCCCAGAACACAAACTTAGATTTCTAGTCACAGCAGAACACCTCCTCCAGAACCCCAGAATACCTTGAAATAGCTTAGAACTAATCAATCTATTCATTTATGTGCCTATATTATTTGAAAATGTGTACCTATATTGCTTGAATAAGATAAACAAGCACACACTATTGTTTAAACTTCCAAAAAAATTAACCCTTTACGTTAAAGGGTTAATAAAACGTATTCTAACAACATATCACAGACTATTTTGTCTCGCATGCAAGGAGAAAAAATTTAAACAAGCAAAAAAAACAAAAAAGAGAAACGCAATAATTTTCAATTCATTGAACCCAATACACAGCATTCTGCTCAATTCACCTAAATTTTAGGACTGTATGCTTACCTGCCCAACAAATATTCCTAATTGCTTACTAATAGATTCATTGTTACTACTCCAAGGGTTAAAACAAATCATTATACACACCCCCATATAAAAATAAATCTCATGATCAGTATCTTATGATTTTCAAAACAACATTAGGTTCCTTTATTCAGATTCTGCTTTCTGAAACATTATGGTGAAGCTTAAGGTTTCTTCATAAGGGTTAGTGATTTATTTTTCTTATTTAATTAAAAGTTGGCACTCTCAACAAGTCCTTTGCCACTAGGAGTTGTTCCATGAAAAAAAGAAAAAAAGGAAAACAGAAACAGAAAGAGAAATGAAAAGATGAGACTTGTGATAAAACTGATATCTGACAGTGTGCAAACATTTACAATCATCTCACAGTTCAGTTGAAGAGTAATTGTAAATGGTAAAAATGTATGTATATCTGGATAACTTGTAACAAAAGAAATAGGCCTACCTGTTGGAATACTCTCAGCTGGACTTGACATTATTCTTGAACTGATATTTGAATGTTTATCATTCTTAGAAAAGTCTGCAACAAACAGAATGGCTGGTAAGAGGTATTTTCATAAATAAGCCCAAATTTTACCATGAATTATAGAATACAATATGTGCATGTCCTTTTTTGTTTCCTTATGATGAACAAGCTATACTTTAATTGTTAGGGGGAGTATTTGTAACCAACTTTCAATAGTCTCCATTTCATTCTTTTCAGCAAAGGGACCTCAGGAGGATTATGATATCTCAAGTAACTGAAGCTTTCCCATCTTTAAGATTTGTATTCAGATTTTAATTCTTCGAGCCAAAATCTGCTATATGCCAACATAGCTCATATCCTCAGCCAGGGTAAATTGACAAAGGATCTTTAATTATCAAGTCAATATGCCTACGCTGGAGTTACCCCCGATGCAATTCTGAACTGTTTCCTTCTATATGACTTTGTTACAAACTGAATAATCCAAAATGTCGATGAGTAGAGCAAGTGGGAAACTTAGTTAAACGATTCCCCTTTTCATTAAAATTTGAAACCATTTTTTCTGATAGCATAATCCTTTCTAACCCACTCTACTCACAAACAGGGAAGGAGATTTCTCTCCAGGGATTCAAAACTTCTGCCCATTTGGAATCTGAGAAAATCTCAAGCCAATTTTCAGTTTTTTCATAAGGTTTTCCAGCCAAATAAGGACAAACAGGGAGGAAGGGAAATGGAAATAACTCTTAAAAAATAGTCCTTCTGAAGCCATTTTTAAGCTACACTGAAACAAACTTGTACAGGGAACATATTTCTCCCCCTTAAAAAAATGTATGCAGTTGCAATATGCAGTAGCACATTGCATAAAAATTATTATTCAGCAATTTCTCTATAGAGCATCTGTTCATGTTACACGAAGGCAAGCAACCAAATAAGCATACAATACAAGTAGGGGGATTTCCCTACTTACTATCTATGTAACCATGAAGAACAGAAGAAAGCCAGATTCAACCAGCATTTTAAAGGGAAACTCAACTAGAACAGAATATCTGTGAAAATGTTAACATCAAAGGCACAGATGCATTTCTTTCATTTTAACCTTTTCAAATCAACCTGAATACAATGGCATGGACAGGAATGTGATGCCAAGGGGCTCCCACGGCAGCGGGAACAGGAATACAATACTTGTTTAATACCAATTACCCAACTGAACTCAAGCTATGGAGACTGAACTACTCACAAAACTGACAGGGTAAGTTGAAGTAGGAATTTGTGGACAATTATCTCACAAGCTTTCCCAGTGCTTACAGCAGCAGGGTTCCCTCAGGCCCTATGCAATTGTGGAACCGCCATGCACCAGTCTGCCACGCCTTAGGTGGATACACACTATGGATGGTGTCTCTCCACAATGTGGTATTGACTGCATGAGTTATCTTGCAAAAAACAATCCATTAAGATCAAAAGATAATACAGTGGGAGCAGGTGTGTTATAACTACAAATTAGACGATGCCTATGTATGCCTCTTCTGGATATCACAGAATCATCTTCCTCAGAGGTTGATTTCCCTCAGTTTTCAGGGACGGAATGTATTCATTTCCCTCCTTCCAGACATACCAGCCAGTGCTGGCTTGCCGGGGCCCTTCACTTCATGTCTTCATCCTAATGACACAGCTTGACACTAAGCAAGCAGTGTAGAATTTAACTGTGTGTTACATAGTTAATGCATTTTCAGATAGGTTTGTCTGATCACTAGCATTTATGCATCCATTCAACTAACTAAAATCTACTGTTTAAAACCCCTCTCCAAATTGGTCCATTAATTAGTCACTTTTAATAGCAGAGACACTCTACCTAAAGGAACTGCAAAGCTTCATCCTCCTTTCTCCATCATGCTGAGAAGGAGGATAGAGAACAGGAAAGTTTACTAAACAACACTTAATATACCTGCCAGTTCAAATTAAGTCTAGCTGCACTGCAACTGCAATGCTGGCCTGACCAGATTTCATGGCTATTATTATCCTAAGTATAAACACTTCCTGTCCCAGCTGTGATTCCTGTCCAGCTCTAGTTCTACTTTTACTGTGGTTAGTCACAGGCACAAAACAAGCCATTCTTGTGATTCTGGCAACATGTTATCACTTTCAACTTCAAGAAAAGTTGAGAGGGCTGTTTAACTAGAAAGGAGATGCTAGAGAAATAAGTCCATATAATCTTTTGAGAAAGAACACCAGATTTAGTGGGTCATACAGGCTAGGGACAGACATTACACATAAACCGGTTAAATGATCAGAAACTGATTTAAACCTGTAACAGAACAGATGTTCAGTGCACATAAACTGGTTTGAAATTGGCTGAAATCAGTTTGAGATAAACCAGGTTGAATGCAGTATCAGACTTAACTGATTTGGGTCAAACCAGTTTATACAGTGTCTGTCCCAGACCCCTTGCTGGTTTAAGATTAACTAGAAACCCCCAGCATGCTCTGTGTTCCACAGCAAGGCTGGCCCCTCCCCACTGCTCCCTGGCTGCAGCTCAGCAGAGACTTGCAGGCACAGCAGCTTTTGCCTGGCTTCTCCCTGGTAAGCAGAGATTCTTCCTCCCTCCCCTTTGCCTTACACAGGCAGTTCAGCATTAGCTAGCAGACTACAGTCTGTGCTGTGGGAGGTAACCAAGGCAGACAGACTTTTTGGAGCTAAATCAACAGGTAGCTTAATGTCCTTCTTTGGAAAAGCTGTTTAAAAAGAGCCGTTTGCTCCCGCCCTCCCCCTCACCACTCCCTGCTAAGCAGGGATTACACCTGTCCACAAGGCAGAGGGGAGGGGGGATTAGATAGCAGACCACATGCTGGCTACAGTCCCTGCTATGGATAAAGAGAGACTCATTAGGTAGAAGGTAATGTCCCTCTGTTTTCTTAATGGGGGTGAGAAACACCCTTAGGGGGTGATAAACAAATCAGATTCCCCACTGGGCTAATCAGAGCATCTTGCCAGGGCCTGGACACCCCC